TAGAAATGAATATGTGCATGAAATTAGATGGAAGTTTTGAACATTGGATGGGAATATTCAGACCGTATACTATTTTTGTGGAGATAATGAAAAGATTGCAGGTGTTAAGACTGGATTCTTGAATTTGATTTCGTACTTGGTTGTTTTATTCAATCAAATGGAACTATAGAAGGCGATGTGGGTTCAAAATGTGCACTTTCCCGAAAGGCACAAGTCGGTTAATCAATCAGAAATCAGGCACCAAGCTGGTGTGACTCTGGAATGGTGCTGGATTTAAATCGTAGCCAGCAATCATGAGAGCTGAGCGCTGCATTTCTATTTGATTAACCTACTTGTGCCATTCGGGTTTTAGCATCTTGTAATATCTAAATTATTTCCATGCAAGCGTCTAGTTACGAATAGTGGACTTTAAGGTCCATAGTGCTTTAATTAAGTGCTAAACAACTTCAAATCACTTCATTGCTCATTCATTATAGTTATTACTAATAATAATGTGTGAAAGGCCTAGCCTTTCAGCTGGAGGCACTGCGATTCAATTTGTAAAGAATCTATGGTACAATACCCTTTAGAACTACAGTTTATAGTGAGGTCCGAACCACTTCCAATCTCTGCACATTGCAAAGTCAGACATGATTTGCATCAATCTATTCTGTCTAGATCTTAGCGATTTCTTCATTCAATTGATTAGCCAACAGACATGACAATTTGCAGTTGGTTGATTTTTGAATCATAGGAGTTTAGAGCCGAGTTAAATACTCTCAAGCAACAAAAAGTTTATGTTGACATGGTTGCGATATGAAGACGACATCTTGTTGAATTTCTCTGTCCGCAAGGTTTTTTGTGACTCGTGTCGATGTAGTGCTGCCTTAAAATTAAGCAATATAAACCTTTTGTCGCTCGGTACTGCACTACTCTAGGTTCAAACCTATAAAATGCCATAAACAGACAAATATCCTGAAAAATCAATATTCCTCAATACAAATTAATACAAATAAAATCTATCCTTTGATGTCAATTTCCATCTCATTACCTAATCAACTCGAATATCCGAAAACAGCTCCAATAAGCGGTGTGAACATAAACATAAAACTAAACTCGTGCATGAAGTGTGGTAGGAGGTAATCTTATTACGATCGAAAAAATTTAATCTTTTTTTTCTCCTTTCCACATTGTTTTGTGCATGTATTATTTTGCTATGCCAAAAAAAGTAAGTAGTTGATTATAATGAAAGGGTTAATTCATTTATTCATATACCAAAAAATATATATAAATATATTTTTACTTTATAGAATAAATTCTTATTAAACACTATAACAATGATGATATGTATTTTAATCTAAAGTGCTTTTGACATGAACTAATGATTAAAGTTTATTATGGTAAATTTGTATGTATTATGGAATGGAATGGTAGTTATTGAGAGGGTATGTAGATAGGTAAGAGATTTTTGTATGTAAAATATTTTTCGTTATTATAATTATTATTCTTATGATAATATGTGGCTTGAATATGTGGTTTTCATGTATATTGCCTAAACGTTCTTGAGACTACAAGTCTTTAATTAATCTATAAATAGCGATAGGCTTATCACATGCTTTACACAGCACAAAACCTTAAATTATCATGAATTTCTACTCTTTAATTATGTATCTGATAGACGAAGCATAGAAAATTTTTGCTTGTGGTTGATTATTTATTAAGGTTTGATGTGGAAAAGCTGCTGACTTTCTTGAAAGATACGAAATTATTTTTTGTTGAGATAAAAGTTAAGTTGTTTGTTTGCTATTAATTTTTCAAACAATTTTTGAGTCTTTGTGAGATTTTATTGATAATTTTTTTGCAATTTAACTTTTTGTTGCTCGTTGTGTAAGAAAATTCTATTTGAAGAGGCGAAAGAGGAGATCAAGGTCCTCAAGATATTTTTCAAGCAAAATACAGGACCTAGCAGAAAATTCGAACAAAACCAAAATTTATTTTATTTATGATGAATGAAAAAGAAAAAAATAGATGACTGTTCTCTGAAAAACCAAGCATGTCGTCAGCCTAGTCAAGCACTAGTTTTACTTCCTTGACTTTTATTATAACGGTTAGTTAAGAGGCCTTTTTATTAAAACCTTATTGATTGAATAGTAAAATGTACCAAATCTGGCATAATGCGTTCTACGGTTTTGAATGTTTGATTGACAGTCATTTATACGCCGCGTGCCTTTGGAGCACTTTATAAAATAATTTAACATTGAGTTGGCACTTGAACGTTTTATAAGTGATGAATAATATTGTGTGTTTTCCTTGATTAAATTAAAGATTAACTATAATACAGTTTAAATTTATAAAGATTAATCCAGAGTAATCTAAGTTTATATAGAAAAATATATTACAATTTCAATTGTCGTTACTATTAATGTGTCAAAACTTAACAAAAACAGTTTTAAAATTCAGCCAGGAGGGTCTTGTCCCTCTCTTAAATGTGTTGAACCACAGCGAGAGCATGGCCTAAAACGCTTAAGAGGGGTATAAGAGCTTCCTGGCTACGCGCCTGATTCTATTGCTTAGAGAACTAGGTTCTATTAAAGGGTGCAGAACTGATGAAATGATCAAAATGTTCAAAAATGATCAAAAATGATCAAATGGTTTTCTTCAATTCCGCATTCTTGGCTCTTTATAATTTTTTAAGATTTTAATTGCTTAAAAAAACTCAAATTTTTATATTTTTTCACACTTTGATAGAGTCTAAAACAGCACTAAAATTAATTTTCAATTCCAAAACTATTTAAAAACTTAAACAAATAATTTTCTAAAACTACATAAATCATTTATATCAACAACCAGAGTAATCTAGTCTCGAGTAGATCCTACACTCAACTGACCGCCATTTAGCAATTTTACTAATGACTATAAATCATCATGTTGATTTGATTTATGTAAAGCATGATCATGTCAATTTAATTCTGAAAACTAAACAATTTTGTGGATGCTGAATGAATGTAAAATAAAAAAAAAAGTTTTTATATTTTTCTATCATTAAACTTAATTTAGGTAATTAAGCTGAATTGCAAAATGAAATAAAAAATAAATGATGAACGAGCTATCCGCACTACGGGGGGTTTTTGCTATTTTTATTCAAACAAAATATTTTTAGTGCTTATTCTGCTATCGAGTGTGTATCATATCGAGAGATCAAAAAAATATAAAAACAAATAAAAATCTTTGACTATGGATTTTGATTCACAATTAAATGATGTTGGATCATTTGGATTGTATCAGAAATTAGTGATATGTCTGATACTTCTACCTGCTACATTGCCTTGCGCATTTCATGTAAAATATTAATCAGTAAACGTTATAAACGGAATGGAAAATTTTCTCATTTTAACATCATTATTTAGGCATATTCGCAGATTTTCATGGCCGCAAAGCCCGAACATTATTGTAAAATTCCTGAATTTCAGCCATGGATGAATCATTATCGTGATATATTGAAAAATTTAAGGTATGAAGATGTGAAAATTTGGCTAATAATCCTCAGTCGTCTACAACCGTATGTTGTTTTGTGTGTGAAGGGTTGGAAATTCTTTGGAATGAATTCATGAATTGTGGAGAGTTTTAGTGAATGTTGATTAAAGTTTAGAGGATATACTCAATGACTTCAGTGGTTTGATTTAAGATTAAATTCCAGCAGTTGTTTGCTAGCAACATTTAACATAATGGAGGATTTTAACCTTCCCCTCCCCCCTCCCCTTAATATTATCTTGTTAAAAGACGTTCAAACTTAAAATTTCTTATTGTTTCAACTTTAAAGCATCCCAAAAATCCAGACCCACTTTGTGCTTCTCCTAAAATGATAGACATGACTAAATTATTTCAAAGATTAATCACAAGACTAGCATTATAGTCTGAATTGATGAGGATCAAAAATTATTTTTGGAGCTTTATTGCTTGATGTAGCTTGCTAGTGGTCCAAATTGTGACCAGCTGCCGGGATTCAGTTCAATAAGTTCCTGATTGATCCAAGAAGAGAGAAAGTTTTTGAGTTATTTTCATAAGAGGTTGGGGGAGGGGTGGATAAAATTGTTAAACTTTCAGTGTTATTCGTCATAATTTGCATTCAAAAACATAATAATAATGTAACTCTCACTTTACTGACTTGGTTCCAGCCAAGCTATGTGTTACTACACGTTGCGAAGAGCCAAAGGCACTGCGATCCTGATTCAAAAAACATAAATAATCCTATTTTATCTTAATGCTAATATTATAGGGTTCTGAAAAGTCGATTATTTATTAATTAAACACTGAACTTCTAAGCAGCTCTACTTCATACCCAATAACCATTAGTTTTGGATGATTAAATCACAATCAATTCAGAAGAAAAAAATCTAAAAAATTCAAATTCCCAACCCTGCCTTAGACACACACACAAAAAGATGTTTTCTTCATCTAAAAAAAATTTAAAAAAAATCTGTTCATTATCCTCATATCAATAGCATCCCACTCGAGGGACGCGATGGAACAACAAAATATTCAGAATGTAAAATGTATAATCGCAATTATACGGAAATATCAAATCTATGGATGGATAAAAGTCCAAATGAAATTTTAATCAATCACAAACATTTGTTGGATGAAATGAAAAATTATGAAATTATAAATTGTAAGCATGGTTGGATATACGACACATCCATATTTCCCATGACCGTCATCAGTGAGGTATGAAATTAATTTTGAAATGTAAAAAATTTATAATTTTTCAATTTTTTTTTCTTCTTTATCGTCCTCATGCTCGCCGTCGTATATTGTGTATTGTATAATATTTAATGCAATTCATTTTATGTTCTCATACTACTGTAAATAAATGTACACGAACATTATGGTGGCTGCTGCCGTGCTTCAAATTCCTCATTTTCAATTTCATCTACGTCTCGACTAAATATATATGTTGCAAAATAATATTAAATAAATATATGTAGTGGGATCTCGTATGTGAAAAGGATTATTATTCAACGATGGCATTAGTTGTATTCGGAATAAGTGGATTAATTGGCAATTATATTTTTGGATATTTGCAAGATTATTACGGTCGAAAGCCGTCATTTTATATTTATTTAATTTTCGAGATTCTATCATGTGGGTTAAGTTCACTAGCATGGAATTTTACATCATGGCTTGTACTTAGATTCATGGTAGGCTTAACAGTTCCTGCAATCTTGGCTAGCCCATATGTTCTAGCGATTGAATTAGTTGGACCAACACGTCGTGTATTTTGTACAATTGTTTCTAACATCGCTTATAGTATTGGACTTACATCGCTTGCTGGCATCGTGTACATGATCAGGGATTGGAGGATGTTGTCAATTGCTGTATCGATGCCATTACTACTTCTTTTTATGTGCTATTTCACACTACCCGAAAGCCCTCGATGGCTCGTTGCAACACATAAATACGAAAAAGCTGCCAAAGTTATGAAAACTATTGCACGGTAAAAGTTTTTCCTTTCTTTTAATTTCTCCCTCTTCCTTGCTATGCTTTTGTACATATATATGAACATTTACCACATACTCCCTCTCGCTCTTTGGAGCTGCAGTAGAAACAGAAACAGTAACATACAAGTTTACAGAACTGAAAATTTTTAATGGCAAAAATTTGCCATTCTTCTCTATAATTTTTGGCGCTAGTTTTGAAGCAATTAGTGTTATTGTCTTAGTTTTGGCATTAAGTGATTGAAGATTAAGTTTGAGACTTTGTGAAGGCAAGAAGGAAGATTTCTTTATTTGAGAAGTTATGAAGATATTTGCAGCTGGCCAGATTTTGTTCACTATGTGAGATGTTGGAACTGAGGGGCATTTGAAGTATCGAACCAAATGTAGGAGAATCAGTCAGTAAAAGAGTAAGGTCTCTGTGACTGAGATGTTAAGCAGTAGCCAAGCATTTTTTGTCACTGGATTGTGCGCAGACTTGGGTTCGATTTCTATTAATCTAAGTGTTGTACTATGACCCATTGGTGATCAACGAATGTGCCGTAGAAAAATTGAAAATTGAGAATTATTATTCCATTTAAGGTCATCTAATCAGATCCAGTTCCTAGAGAGTGGTTCAGCTAAAACCTAAGAATTGAAAATCCAAACTTTGAATTTGTAGGACAGTGGTTCTCAAACTTTTCAGAACTTTACTGTTCCGTCAATCATTTCGTGGAGCATCTAGGATTTCTCTCATGCGCCGTGGAACATAGTTTAAGAAACACTTGGGAAGGTCCTTGAGACAGCCATTAAAACAGATCCATGACTTCAATTATATTTAAGAAAATCAAGGGTTAATGGATGGGGATTGACTAGAATCTGCTGAACACATCCTAGGGAAATTTTATCAAATTACACCTTTTATCAACCTCAATGCTACTTAGCTTGATTCCTTCAAATTCTGTAAAAATGCGCTCTAATCACACCAAGTAAAATTCTTACTCAATGCACTCTCAACTCATTTTCACGCTTCCATTTCCTCTTCCTCTCATCTTCCTTATTCTTCATCATTTTTCGGTGGTAAAATTAATTTTAAAGTTCACATTCAATTTTTCATTTTGGCTGCTCCGCACCATAATTAGATTTAATGGTAAAACATTGCCAGCAAATTATGAAAGTACTCTAAAAGAGCGAACAATGGCATATGAAAACATGCAAAATATGCAATCGACAGAGAAGCAAAGTTATGGCATTTGTGATTTATTTGCGACCGCAAACATGACAAGAAAAACCACCATAATAACTTTCATCTGGTTCTGCATCACATCGGTATATGTGGGTCTGAGCTACTATGCGCCCTCATTAGGTAAGTGTAGATGACGACGAGATGTGATTTCCTTTTTCAACAACAAATTAGTTTTTTTTCCTTCTCCATTCTTTTAAAACTGCATTACTCTCCATAACTGACTGTATGTGCTGTTATGGTCGTTTTAAAGCATATAGAACAAAAGTTTTTCTGACAACATAAAAAATTTATGAAATTTTTTTTTTTTTGTAAGTAAAGTTAAAAACTGTTGTCTTTTCATGGTAATTAAGAATGAAAAGTTTGTTCTTTAATAGCTTGAGAAAAAAAAAACTTTTCAACCAGACTTTTTTTTTTTAAATTGATGAAATTCTCGAGACAGGTTGAGTGGATGTCTTCAAGTTAATTATGAGGTTTTGAAGTTGAAATACATCAAAGTAGTGCTGCAGTGCTTTCTGGTTGATAACCTGATAATTAATGATATTAAAGGTTATTTTTTTTTGTATGCGGATATTTTAAAGTTTTTAATCAGAAAAGTTGGAGAAGTTTGTTAAAAAATTAATCGAATTCTTCTTTTGTGTGGTTATGTGTCATTACTTGCTGCATAATAAGGTTGGTTGAGTGAAGAATGAATATTAAAAACCAGAATGTAGAATAATTTAATCTGATAAAAATCCAATTTAAACTTAAGATTTGAAAATAATTATAAGGAAGACTGCAAATTAATTAGTTCAAATATTTTGTTTCTTTAGCTTTCTGATAAATCTGAGGTTTTTGAAAAAAGTTAAGATTTATAAAGGGCTCGTTCACTTATTACGTAACGCAAAAAAACGAGTTTTTAGACCCCCCCTCCCCCCCTGTAACAAACCGTAACAAAATCTTCGACCCCCCCTCCCCCCTAGTGCGTTACGTAATAAGTGAACGAACCCAAAAGAGCTTTTTAAAAAAGAACTAAGGTTTTTGAAACAAATTTGAGCTTTTTAAATGAACGTGAGCTTTTTAATAAGAACCTGAGCTTTTGGAACTGAACTTTAGTTTTTTAAACTGAGCTTGAGCTTTTTGAACTGAGTTTGAGTTTTCCTAAATGAATTTAAGCTTTTTAAAACAAATTTGAGCTCATTAAAAAGAACTCGAGCTTTTTGAATTGAATTTGAGATTTTTCAACAGAATTTGAGCTTTTTAAATACAAACTTGAGCGATTTGAACAGAACTCGAGCTTTTTGAACTGAGCTGTAGCTTTTTAAACGAATTTGAGCTTTTTTGAACAAACCTGAGCTTTTTGAAAAAAAAAACTTTTTGACATAATCGAAATTTGCTGACTTTTTTTTGGAAATATGAACTCACAAATAAAATCTCAATAATAATAAGATGTAAATTCAAAGCATTTTTAAGTATTTTGTTAAAAAACTTAAAAGAATCAGTAAAAATCAACCTTATTATAATTCAAAAGCCCTCTATCCACCCTGCACCATTGAAATCTAAATTAAGAAGGTGTTCATGAATTCTTAAAAATTCACTTCACCACAAAATTTATGATCATAAATCAAGAGAGACAAGCACAGTCTTAAGCATTTAATAACAACCTCTCAGATTCTCTCAAATCCACTTGACAGAAAAATTTCTCTCGCAACAATTAATTTTCAACATGAACTTAACCAAAAATTAATTTTTATAGCATATTTCTTCGCAAAATAAGAAGTTGCAGCACCATAAATATATTTTTTAAAGAAGAAACTCCACTATTTCAAGTTTTATCACCTTGCACATAAATTTTCGGTGAAGACATAAAAGCTAGAAAAGTTTGGAAGTTCTTTCTATTATGTGTACACATACATAATATTTTCACAAGAAATGAAATGAAAAAGAAGTAAAAATTACACCATGTAGAGTAGTAAGGAGAAGAACATAAGATAAAAACACACTCTATAAATTATCATTATGTTTTACATCTTTCATGTACATACAAAAACATAAAACACACATAAAAAAGTTCAACTTATTTGGGAGTCGTTCATAAATGATGTCCATTTATCAATAATGATTTTTTTGGCACTTCTTCATGCTAGATTTCAAATATTTAATCAAATTTCACGAGTCCTAACCCCCTCAGTCCCCCCCCCCAAGCCTTTTCTAGTACCTCATTTACGAACGAATCCCTACATGAATTGCTTATACACATACACAGGTGGAGATGAAATTTTCAACTTCTTCTTGGCCGGCGCTTGTGAACTTCCAACATACATATTCCTATGGCCGAGTCTTAGCTATTTTGGTCGACGATGGATATTGTGTCTCTCTATGCTTGTCGGTGGTACAGCGTGCTTGGCGACATTTCTCGTTCAACATGGTGAGTTCATAAGCTGAGCAATAAATTTGTTTTTATTTTCCTTACACTCTTTTTTCTGCTGTAAAATGGCATGCAGGATGGCATGAGTATTTACAAATAGTTAAATGTAAAGTTGTAAGGAAGGATTTAAAGATGATGAAGCGCATGAATTTTTTTTGTTGAATTGGATGAACTAGCTTAGAAAAATAATCTAGATGACTGTTCTTAGTGTTAGTCTAAGGCAGCTAGAGTAATACCTAGGGCAGCTAGAGTAATACCTGAGGCAGCTAGAGTAGGATACCTAGGGCAGCTCTAGAAAAAAGTCTCAGATCTAGATCTAGATTGTCAGATAATAAATGATGTAGCTTACCAATACCAAAGCTCCTAAACGGGATCCTAATTGAAAGTTTCCACCAATTCCAAACTTGTAACATTAAGTCAATCTATAAAAAACTAGTTTCCCAGTCAAATTAGTCAGACAAACAACTAGTCACTAAAACTTTTAAATAACACAACTTATAAAAGCATGTTCTTAACAACAACAACGACAAAAAAAAATTTATGAAGAAGAAGGAAGTGAAGAGCCTGAAACTTATGCAATATTTTTTATTTCTTTCTTTTTTTCCATTTTATATGTTGCTGCTACTTCCTTTTTTTGAAAAAAAAACTCATTTCTTTTCCCTTTCATTCAATTCTTTATTCAATGGTTGAATAACGTAACATACAACATCCTACATGATGTTCTTTGTGGCTGGACTTTTATCATTATATGCAACATACAAACAAATGGATGGAAATGTTCTATGAATGAAAATGGGATGTGTGTGCGGGGTGGAGAAGACCAAACAACAACATTGATATTTTACTGCATTGCTAAAATGGGAATATCATCAGCATTTGTTGTGTTGCCATTAATGGCCTCTGAACTCTATCCGACTGTTGTCAGAGGATTGGGAATGAGTTTTAGTCAAGTTGTAGGTAAATAATTGATCCAAACATGCTGTAAATTGTTGTCGATATTTTTTGCTGTTTTATGTACTTTATAATATCCTTGTGGTGAATTTGTGGTGGAATTTTTAAAGAAGTGTAGTTGGGATATTAATGTGATTTTTGATAATTTAGCAACATCCTGTAAAGCAGTTGAGTCCAACCTTTTTCGTGTCAGGGCACACCTTAGTGGTAATCCATGACCGAAAACGTACAAAACCCATGTTTTGTGGAGTTTTCTGAATTTTTTTCGCCGCACATGGGTTGACCATCACTGTTCTAATGATTTAAGGTTAGAATATTTAAGCTATATCAACGCGTACCTCTCTAATGGCTGTTTGTTTAATATATTCCAAGATATAAAGTATCATAAATCTATATCAGTCATGGAATTAGGCTAGGTATGTCCCTATTTCGACCCAAGGGTATGATATACAAAGCAACGAACTTATGCGCACTTACTGCCTCACTATCTAGCAATACTATTCTCATATGATCGAGATAGGACATAGACAACTCTGGAAGTCTTTAAAATCAACTTCTGGGGCTGTGCTTCTAGTCTGAAACATTGACATCCAAATTTTCAGGTTAGACATGTCCTAGTGCACTTTTGATAAATTTGATGACACCCCCAGTATCAAAAAATTTCCGACAAAATTCACCACAAAGGCCTAATCTCAATATTCTTAAATTTTCTAAAGAAACTTTCCAATTATTGACTGCAATCTACAGCAAAAATAATTTTTTCTCCTCACATCAATCCTCTAAATCTATTCACAAATGGGCAATAATTCTTACAATATGCTTTTGTATTTTTCGGCAATAAAAAAAATTCTTTTTTTTTCAAACAATCCATACAAAACACAAACACAATAGCAATGATTGGACCAACATTGATTCCAATTGTCAACTATATGGGGAGTGAGATGATAGTTTTGCCATTAATTGTGATGGGAGTTTTGTTACTCTTTGGCGGCTTTGCAAGTTTCTTCCTACCGGAAACAAAAAATAAATCTCTTCCACAAACAATATACGATAGTGACTCAATACCACTCGTAAATCCATTCAGTATTATTTTTAGTCGCAGACGTAGGAGACAGCATAAGCAACATCATCAGAATTGTAGTCGACGACAGCAACAGCAATGTCGAGAGACAGATGGGGACGTGCAGATATGTGATGTATGCAAATTGGAAAAATGAGAAAGGATAGGAAGAAAGATGAAAAGGAAGAAGATATGGATGGATTTATGTCTGGGTGGGGATAAGGGATGAAATATAAAAAATTCAAATCATTGCATTGTAATAGTTTTAAAAAATATGTATGTGACTAAGAATTTAATATTAGCATGTGTGTATGCATGTATGTGTGTGTTTGGGGATATTTGAATAGGATTAGTTTAAACACTCAATCGATCTACAATCTATCAATACCGCACAATGAGTGATGGGAAAATTGAAGTATGCTGTAGACATTTATACACTCAACAATTGTACAATTGCATTCAACCATCGAATTGACGATGGCAAATGAAACAAAAAATTTTCTAATTTTCAATTTTTGGTGTGTTGGTTTTTTTTTTTGTTCAGTTGAGGTGGAATGTGAGTGAGGTGGGTTGATATGTTCTAGCTAGTCAGACTGGCTGGATTAATATTTTTCAGAGATCGAAGCCGATTTTTTCGGCTTAACTCAATTTTTGATTTTTTTGATAGAAAAAAGCCATTTGACACCCATTTCAAGTATTTAAATTGAACTTTACATGCTTTACTATGATTCTGTGTAATATTTTGTCAGCATGTAGCTATAGTGAGCTCAGAATTTCAATTTAGCCGATTCTAAGCCGATCGGCTTAAATTTCGGCTTAACATTCTTTAACTTGAAATTCTGAGCTTCCTATAGCTACATGCTGACAAAATATTACACAGAATCATAGTAAAGCATGTAAAGTTCAATTTAAATACTTGAAATGGGTGTCAAATGGCTTTTTTCTATCAAAAAATTCAAAAATTGAGTTAAGCCGAAAAAATCGGCTTCGATCTCTGATATTTTTAATAGGTTTTCCAAAATTAGAATGGCTGATTTATAGAAATGTCAGTCTACTATAAGTGTGTTAAAGTCTAATCCTAGCTAGGATTGACTAGCTATCAAAAACTAGATTTTTAATATCAATCCAAGTTCAAGTCAAAATGCAAAATAATTAAATTAATGCGCCAAAACCTTACTAAAATTCAATTCTTATAACACAAATTTCCTGACTTACTTTTTTTGAAAATTGGCATAGCAAAACTTTTTTTTTGTTCTCACAAATTGTCATCATTGATTTCGAGAGCTATGCAATTCTATACCTACATACCTATAAAAAAAAAAGACAACATACTGAAAAAAAAATTTAATTGTCGATTTTCCGAATAAATTGAAAAAAAAAATCCAAAATAAAGCAAATTTGATATCCTTGTTCTCTCTCTCGTTTTCCTCGATTCCAATTGTGATTCTTATTACAATTTTTTTTTATTTGATGTTGTAAAAAAATTGTTTTGTTGAGTGGCAATAAAGGTTAAACATTAACTTTCATCTTATTTTACATATTTCCACTTCTTTTATTTGGAATCGAAATCGAAATCATTTCACATGTATTGCATGACGCAATTTGCTCTCAAGCTCCTTCATCTTGTGTGCGTTATTTCTTGTTATCTGATACTTTTATTGAAAATGTTTTCTGAATAAATTAAATTGATGGAAAAAGTTTTTCTTTACTTTTATTCGTTTGTTTGTGTGATTTTACTTCATTTTCAGAGGGATTTTTTTTTGAATTAACTGCTTTTATGAAGCTCATGATGTAAGTATGATAGACTGTCTTTAATTTTATGCAGTTTAAGTTCAGTTAAATTGAAAAAAATATCGTAATTCAAAAGCGTATCTGGGACTATTCTGGTTTCGTGACACTACTGTTTGTACATACGAAGAGCATATCTATAGTTGATAGGTTTGAGCATAGGGCTCAATGTAAAACTTGTTGTATGTGAATGACGGATAGCCGAAGTGAGATAAGTCACTCGATAGCCGAGTGGCACGGGTCTCTAATCGAGTGGTCAGAGATCGCCTCTTCTAAGATGTGTGTTCGATTCCCATCTTCTTTGTTAATTCAGAATCTTCAGATGAGTTGGAAAAAGTCAATAAATAAGTAATTAAGATTTCCTAAGCACTTATTTTCTTCTTAACTTCTTAAGAAGATCTCTTCTTAACACAAGAAGCACATCATGATAATCCCGAATGACACAAGTCGGTTAATCAACCATATATCCGGCACTAAGCCTGTGTGACATAGTGCTGGATTTAAATCAAAGCCTGAACAATGCCAGAGTCATGTCGATTTCTATTCGATTAACCGACTTGTGCTGTTCGGAAATGTTCTTACTACGTCTCTGTTCTAAGTGTGCATCAGTTCCAAGCATGTAGCTAAAGCGGGATTTAAGAAACAAATCCTCTAACACCAACATTGGTAAAAAATGTGCCCTCAAGTGAAAATTTATTCGTAATATTTATTTTTTCCGTTTTGTAAAATATGATGAACGTTACAACTAAACTAGAGTCAAAAATATCACTGAAAAGTATTATTTTTATTTATATAAATCATAGAAAAAAGTAACCGGTTTATAATAGTATGCAGCACTTCTAAGATGTTTATTCTAATTTTGTTTACGAACATACTATTGTTTAGTTTCAATAAATAAGCTTATTACAAGATATTGTAGGCTCGCACTTCGTAGATATAAGCAAGTAGCCTTGAACATTGTTTACAACAATATTTTGTAATTTTTTAATTTTACAGCTCAAAACACGATTTTTAAACTTGCTTGTAACTCATTTTACCAACACTATACAAAAAATAAATCTTGACTGTAGCAAATTAATCATTTTTCGCACAATATTTAATCATATGGCGTGAATGATGAGTGTAGTCACATTGATAGACTTTTGAGCCCAATACACAAGTACATTAAATTTTATTTTGTCTAATCATAATGATTTGCATTTCTTTTCTGTTATCTTATCAAGCTAATTGTGATACCAAGCTCTATAAGTGTTTACTAAACAAAATTACTTTATTTGTTGTTCTAATTTAAGCAATAAAAGCCGAATCAAAAGAATTTGAGGTCAATTGAAATTGTTAAAAAAAATTATGTTGCATGCTATGTAATGCACATCATTAAAGTGCACAGATGTTAAATTCATAACAAAATTAAACTCACACGTTTAAAGATTGAATGCTTTTCTATGTGTGTATGGAATTGATAAGAGTATGGAATGCATTACACATTCGAATGTTTATATTGGCAAGGGTGTGCAACTGATAAATTGAATTTTGGTCGGTTTTGTTCATTTTCAATCATTTTTTGAACATTGTTGATTACTTTTGACCTTTTTTAATTGTTTTTGATCAATTTTAATCATTTTTAATCATTTTTGATTCTTTTCAATCATTTTGAATCATTTTTGATCATTTGAATAGTTTCACACCCTTGATTTAACCAGCATTTAAATGATCTTAAGAAGAGTTTAAGACATTACATGAAAAAAAAAAGAATTCCAAAATGTTTGTTTAAAAATGAATTCATTGTTTGGTTTAGAACAAGATCTAACCCCTTTGAAGATACTAAGCACCATCAATTTAAGCAAACACCAATACCTAGACATTTACATCCATTGTTTTCTCAGCTTTATTGTATAAAACAGAATTTCAACATGTGCTGAATGCTCATTCTCGTTTTATAGCTTGCAGCGATTAAGTCGTTTTTTAAGTGAAACATTTTTATCAGTTTAAAAAAGTGAAATTTTAATTATGGCAAATCCAAATCAGGAAATCAAATATACAAAAGTAAGTTAAAAATAATCTCAAAATCCAGAAATTGTAATTAAATACACCGGTATTAAGCGGCATTTTCGCATGCTATAAATAAAAATTTATTTATACTTTTTACTGATAAATGTTATCGAAATCAAGAAATCAGTTTATTTAACCTTTTTGTCCGATAATTAAGCTAGATTGTTTATTATTTATAGAATTGCTAAGTAGTAACTTTGAGTCACAACTTTTAAAAATAAATTTCAAATTAGCGACAAACAAATGTTTGCTTTCCTTAGATTAAGCATGATAAGGTATCAAAATGAAAGATCTGAAAAGTATAATAAGCTTGTACCTCGTATTGGCATTTCTAGATTTATTAAGTCCAAAGTTCAATCTCAAGTATTTTGAGCTATTATTTTATTCTTTTTTTTATCTCTAGCTCTTCATCAACAATGAGTTTGTCGAATCAGTAAGCAAGAAAACATTCGAGACATTCAACCCGGCGAATGGAAAGAAACTTGCTGATATCTCTGAAGGCTTCAAAGAAGATGTTGATATTGCTGTAAAAGCTGCACAAAAAGCATTTAAAAGAGGATCAGAATGGCGAAATACGACTGCAACTCATCGCGCTGATTTAATGCTCAAGTAAATTATTATTAATTTAATAAATCTCATTCATTTAATGAATTAAATTTCCATTCCAGACTTGCAGACTTGATTGCCAGAGACATTGAAATTTTGGCTAACTTAGAAACACTTGACAATGGAAAGCCATACGAGAGTGCCAAAGGAGATTTGTTTTTCTGTACCATGTTGCTTCGTTATTACGCTGGCTATGCAGATAAAGCTCACGGTCGTACAATCCCAACTGAACCTAATACGTTTAGTTATGTTCGTAAAGAACCGATTGGAGTTTGTGGTCAAATTATTCCATGGAACTATCCTGCTCTTATGACAGTGTTTAAAATAGCACCAATTTTGGCTACAGGATGTGTTACAATTTTAAAACCAGCAGAACAGACTCCATTAACTGCACTTTATATTGCAAGTTTAACAAAAGAGGCAGGAATTCCAGATGGTGTAATTAATGTCATCACAGGTGAATATCAATAAAGTTCAAGGCGTGAACTTGTTTTAAATGTTTATTTAATTTAATATAGGATTTGGACCAACAGCAGGAGCAGCTATTTCAATGCATCGAGATATTAGAAAGGTTGCATTCACAGGTTCAACTGAAATCGGAAAATTGATTATGGAAGCAGCTGCAAAATCAAATTTGAAGAAAGTGTCACTTGAACTTGGTGGCAAAAGTCCTTTAGTCATTTTTGATGATGTAAATCTAGACGAGGTAGTTCCACTTGCTCAAGAAGCTATATTTACAAATTCGGGACAAATCTGTTGCGGTGGAAGTAGAACTTTTGTTCAAGAAAACATTTATGATGAGTTTGTTAAACGTACGGTTGAACTTGCTAAGAAGAGGAAAGTAGGATGTCCATTTGATTCAAATACACAACAAGGTCCACAAGTTGATAAAATCACATTTGATAAGATTCTTACTTATATTGATTATGGAAAGCAAGACGGTGCAAAATTGGAATTTGGAGGTAAAAGATGGGGTAATGAAGGGTTTTTTGTAGAACCAACCGTCTTCTCAAATGTGACTGATGACATGAGAATTGCGACAGATGAAATTTTCGGACCTGTACAATCAATCATTAAGTTCAAGACATTAGATGAAGTCATAGAAAGAGCCAATAACACAGAATACGGTCTAGCAGCAGGCATTTTCACAAAGAACTTAAACAATGCCATCACATTTGCAAATTCTGTTGAAGCAGGAACTGTTTGGATCAATTGCTATAATGCAACAAGCGTTACTTCACCTTTCGGTGGATATAAGCTCTCTGGAATTGGACGCGAGCTTGGCGAAGAAGGAATTAATTTATATCTTGAAACTAAATCTGTATCAATCAACCTCGCAGCAAATAACTAAATCATATAACATCTTCAATAAAAATTTGAAATTTCTAAACGCACTCACCACGTGTTTTTTCATATAAAATAGAAAAATCATTAATTAAAGTATAAAGTCATTGTTTTGAGCTGTCTTGCTATTCAATACTGAATAGCTAGATGAAACTAAGCTATTAAAATAAACATGAGCTCTTCATGATGTCTGGTTAAGGAGATCTCGATTGTCAGCCGAACAAACGATCGAATAAAGTGCATTTTTAACCTATCTTTTAAAAAACAAGTTTTCGAGACGCTTCAAATTTTGATTTCCCTCTTCAACAACAATTTCTCTCTTTTTTTGTTTTTCACAACATTATGGGACATTTATTTACGGATATTTACATGTAAGGATGAAAAGAGATTGTCTTTTTATGACAATTTATATTTTTTTGTATGCATGCAAAGTCTTTTTATCCCCTCGATTCACTTTCGATGGCTGTCAATTTACAAAATAAGTAACTGAATCATGTAAATTGAAATTGAATTTGTTGAGATTAGATTCTGAATCGTCTTGTAATTGCAAGTATAATGCTCCACCGTCTGTGATGACATGAAAGTTTTATTTTAAAGCTTCGAGAAGGTTTAAGACACAAATGATGTAAATCGAGTAAGTATCAATGATATTATTACAGATAAAAATTGCTTGTACTTAAAAGTATTGTTATTGCTAACGACTTTTCGTTACTGTGAGACACGTGCAATCATAAAATGAATGTTATCAAGATGTGATTGCTTTACTTTGAAATTAAGCTGCTTCACCATGCTGCTTAATGACCGAATAGCACAAGTTGGTTAATCAAATAGAAGTCCCGCAACAAGTCGGCTTGACTCTAGCTTGATGCTGGGCTGAAATGATACTGGATTAGATTTGAGCTCAGCAACATGCCAGAGTTACACCAGCTTGGTACCGGATTTCAGTTCAATCAACCGAATTGTGCTATTAGCAAGACATGGAAACTCAGGATTAATCCTGAAAAATCCCAAAAATCCTCAAAAATCCCTGATCCAATAAACATGAAAATGTGAAATCCCAAAAAAATCCCAAAATTATTCATCAAATTCATCAGGGATTTAAAAGGGATTTCACATTTCTTGTTCATTGGTTCAGGGATTTTTTTTAGGATTTTTGGGATTTTTCAGGGTTAATCCCGAGTTTCCACGCCTTGGCTATTTGGGGTGGATGTTTTGACCTTTAGCTATGCTAGGAATGATTGAAAGCTTTACTGTAGAAATGTGGTCTTGTCCACGCTATAGAGCCTGGAAAACAAATCAATGATGTCTAACTTTGTAGTCTGGATTGTCAATTTTCAAAGCATATTGTTGGTTCACCACGAATAGGATCAGCATCAACTCACTAAAATTCCCACAAATAGACATCATATAAACATATAATTGAGCAGACATATGATCAAAAATTCAAGAAATTCTTGGAAGCAAAATGTCCAAAGGCACAATACCGTCATCATCATCATCATAATATCATTTCACCTTAGCTGAAGAATTTATTATGACTGAGATACTTTATTCGGATAGAATTAAATTTATTTCATTTGTAAATGTAAAAAGACATCTGACTCAATTTACGAAAGAGCTTATATCCAATGTCCCAAAGCATAGCAACAAATGAACTTATGTGAATATAGCAAAAGCATTTTAAAGTGAATAATGTGAAAAATATCCTTTGACCTTCGTTCGCTAAGGTTTCTTTTTAATGTGGATAATAACATCCACTGAACAGCAATTCAGGACCATTACAGATGAATAATGATCACAAAACTTTCCATTAAATATCAATTGCTGTCACTAATCTTCACAATAATTCATAATATTTTTGCTGTTATTATCATCATTTTAACTTTTGCTTTCGTAAATTTTCCATCATCTCAATCTTCAAAAATTAAAGGAAGAGGAAATTTCCATAAGAAGTCGGAAAAAAAAGATGAAGCATCATCATGATAATAATAATGATACTCAAAAAGATATTAAAAAATTGTGCACAACAGAAAGGCAAAAAAAGGAATTCAATTTAAGTTTCAAGTTCTCCTCAAAAGAAAGAAGACAGAAGAAATGGTTGGCAGGTGAACGGAGAAGTCACTCATCTCGTATTTCACACAAAATCATCGTCACATTTGGCACGGCCCAACATTTTTATATTGAAGATGGAAATTACATTTTATTGTATTTTATGCCTTACTTACCTGTGTACCTTACAAATTGCGATTGTGCTTAATATGATATGGGGAGAGCATAATTTTTTTGTGTCTGTTAATGTTTAAGTACGAATTTTATTGAAATTGATGTGACATAAGCGCATTTGTGATTGTTGGGAATGATAAGTGGTAGAACTTGATACTCAAGAAGCTTGAATATTGGATATTTAGGAGACTCCACAACGCAACTTTTCCCGAGCGAGAATTGAACCCGCGTCTTGATGATTTTTGGTTTCATATTTTAACCATTGAGCTATCGGGAGTTGCTAAGAAGCTTGGCAGAATGCTTACTTAAACTATATATTGCTAGACCTTCCAGGCAAATCAGGAGACAGAGGGATGATTAGGATCCCGAATTGCACAAGTCGGTGCTGGATTTATATCAAAGGAAGAATGCCAGAGTCATTCTGGCTAGGCACCGGTTTTCTATTCGATTAAACAACTTGTGACATTCGGGGATGGACATTAATATCATTTTGGATGTCACAAAGAGCCATAAACTAGGTAATGCCTTTGCAAAAACTGAGAAGAATTGTCAAGCGCAGCTTTGCTCAAACCACAATGAGCCAAAACTCCAAACAATTACCAACAGTTTTTCCACAAAACAATGTCCTTAAAAGTAAACCAAAGAGCATGATGAGAGCTGAGTATGCGTGTATTGATGATACATACCTGATCCTTATCTCTACAAATAACATTATCTTCTGAATAAAAAAAAAAACTTTATACTTCATACACGTTTTAGGATGTTGAAATGGAAAAACTTTTCTTTCAGTCTCATCTTACTTTTCCTAGAATGTCAGTTAAAATGATTCAAAGATACATAATTATATTAGACACGTGTCACAAATGATCCTTCTCAATGCTACGCAATATTACTCCTTCTACCCCTCCATCGCACTTTTCATGTCTCCTACGTATAAAAGGTGTTAATAGACGTGTTGTTGAGAGAAATTTAATATTTTTGTTTATGCTTACTTGCTTTACTTTACACATCGAATATGAAGAAGTGAAGAAAAAATTTAAACAAAAAAAAAGCAAAGAAGAAGGAAAAATTATGGTTTTAAGTGAAAAATGGAAGGTAAATGAACTACAATGCATATAATATCAGCATAAAATGTGAAATTGAGGGAGAAGAAGAAAAAATGTATTTTTAACGATTATTGAGCACTAAAATGTGAAAAAACAAAGAACAGTTATTGATAAAAATATCGTAAAGATAGGGAGATGGAAATTTGGGGGGTTTGGAAACGGATAAAAATTATTATTGCTGTAGATAATGAAAATTTTATAATGTTTCTTAGAATTTTACATTAAGTTTTATTGAATTTTCTTCAATTTTAGCTGGGGTTCAATTGATATTAAGCACTGAAATTTGGGATCAAGGAACCTTGTTCAGATGTTGTTTAAGTGATAAAATGTGCAGTTCCAGCAAAGGTTCTTGTAAAGATGGTTTAACTAGTTAGAGTTTGCCAGACTTTTGCACTCAAACTTAGTCCTAAAAGGCTTATTTTATCTTATCCACTTCTCTTTAGGGTGCGGAACTGATGTAGCCCACACCCTTGCTTCCTTCACGGCAACACTTTCTATTGAGAATTGATTCCTTTACTTCTGCTCACTAAAGCATTGGCAAAGAGGCTATAATGCTGCTTGAAAAAAACCGAACTTAGGAGCTTAACTCAATTAACCAATTTGAAGCACTCAATGACAAAAAGACCAAAATTTATGATACCAAGTGTGGTTTCTGGGTGCAGCAGTGTTGATACAAAGTTGCCTTTGCTCAGATGTTGCCTTTGAAATATTAAAGTCATGCCTTTGCAAAGGCACAAAAAAGGCAAAGCGAAAACAATTATCTTTGACAAAAGCTTTGATTTCAAATTGCAGGGATGGCAGATTGAAGACACTTAAATTGAAGGTTCACTGGAGGATGTAAAAAAATTTACTATGACTATGGCAACCCTATAAATTGACCCTATTCTGTCAACAAGTATTAAACTCATTTCAAACTCTTGTGAGAATGAGGGTTTGACTCCCATGATTGGTCTTTCATTGCAGAAGCAGAATAAATTTCAAACAAAGCTTAACTAGATTTATAAGCAAGTCAGTATAACATAGTAGAACATCATTTACATAATAGTTCAGATGGAGAGCATTTTGTTATAACTTAAGCTAACCTAAGCAAGTAGAAATAATCCTGAAAACTCTAATTTTTGACTGACATTAAATGTGAATAATCATTTAAAGGGTTTTGAATCAAAATCAACACGAGAATCGATGAACATGTGCAACATGATACCCCTAAAGAAAAATAAACATTTTGTCATACACTGTACATCCACCTTAATCATTAATCCCAAAGCAAGAAAAAAAATATAAAAGTTTAATGGAATTGAGAACAATAAAAAAAGAGACAACGCAACGTTGATGGAAGAAATTAGAAAAGTTTCATGTACATTAATAAATCGTGTATAATTAATGTTCAGTTGTTAATTAAAAACGTATAACGATTTTTATCGCTAAGCTTTGAGCACAAAAAAGAAATCTTTTCCTTGTTCCATTCATTATATTGTGTTGTTACTGCTTTTAAGCAAGCTAAAAAAACAAACAATAAAGGCGTGGCGCATTTTGAAGGAAGACATTAATTGAAATGAAATAGAAGAGAGTGAAATAAAAAGTGAGCAATATTAAAAAGCATTAACAGCGCGAGCTGGAAAAAAATAGAACTTAAATATTAATTACCAAATAGACGATAAAAAAAAAACGACGAAACTAGAAAGGGTAAATTGTGAGCGATAAATTTTCTTAATTTTCGTGTGAATAAATTTATGCCGAACGAATATAAATTTTCTCTTTCTTATTTTATGCTCAGAGTGTGTCTGTGTGTTTGTAGAGGTGCAGTCAGGAGTTTTTAAAGGGGGGTCAAAGGGGAAAACAACATCATGGAAAAAAGATCTGAAAAAATGCCCACCAAAATGTTGATGGAAAGTTTAAAAGAAAATGAATAATTTTTATCAAAATCTTTTTTCATTTTGATTTCCCCTTTGAGAGGAGCGGAGGGGGTTCTGAACTAAATGAAACCTTCTGCTTGGACACTCTGGTCTAAGTTCGAAGCGAAAAATGATTTTAAACCTTTTCTTATTCAAACCCTCCCTCTAGGGGATTTAGGGAGTCATTACTAAGGTTGATTTTTAAACAAGGTTGATCTGATCAAATTTATTTTTTTTTGAACTGATCCAATTTATCAACATGGTCAATAATGGTGTTCAACATGTGACCAAAAAGTAAATTTTCAGCTCTGCATCCATGGCTTCAAAGCTATTAGGGTAGGGTACCCTTAAAAACTCGCCCCTGAAAACAATTTCTTTGAAAATATAGCATTAAACTCTCTTTCCTTTCCCAAACCCACCCCTGCAAATATGTGTGTATTCAGCTTGTAAAGCATAAAGACAGTAAAGGCAAGAATCATGGATTTAATTAAGGTTATAAATTTTATAAAAAAGGCGAAAAAAAGAGAGAAAATAAAACTTTTTTTCTGTGTCTTGTTTATCTTATATCCCGTCTTTAGACGCTGTTGTCGACAACAGCTCCTTTATTCTCTTCATCAGTAAGCATCAGCAACAGCCAGTCAACCAGCAACAAGAACAGAGGGATCATGAAGAAACATGAATGAGAATGAGAAAATTGTGTTTAATACTTTAATTAAATGTACAAGGGCATTGAGCAATAACTCTTAATTTATTATTCAAACAAATAGATTAACGAGAGCAGCAAATATTGAAAACACAGCCTTTATTTCCTTGTGCTTCTTGATTCTCCCCCTTTTTTATATCCACAATTATTCTTGTACAACTTTGTTGAGCATTTTCAAACGCGAGTTTAGTGGGAAGGAAAATGTTGAGGAGTTGTGGGCTGTCTTTGGGGTTGACAGGGTTTAGGATGCTGTATTGTTGTGGAAAAATTGAATCTGGGATGTTGAGGAATATACAAGCTAATCTGCCAGTGTTATTTAAGATCCTCGGTGGTTAACTAGTCAAGCAACAGTCTGGGACACTTAAAAGTCTGAAGACGTAGGTTTGAATACCTTAATTTTAATCACCAGTTATCAAGCCTAAGATTCAAAAATTCAAATTAATATTTACGTCCAAAACCCTGCAAGTTCTGAGCTCATCTTGAAAACAACACAAGCCGGATGATGCAAATAAACTGAAGAGGTAAGGAAGCAATTTCAAAAGATTTATAAATCGCTTTTATGCTATTTATTTTCTAATAATGAGCTCGCTCTTTTGTTTTATGAGTCAAGAATAATTTTTCTTCTTCTTTATTTCTCTCGAATTTTGTTTTATTTCGCGTGCTTGCTCATTGAACGGATTATATTCTTCAAAGGGTCAGTCTTAATGGAGGGTTTGCTGAGAGTTTTCAATGATTTACTTTAGTTTTTTTTAAAAAGATGTTTAAATGTTTGAGCGTGTTCTGCTGAGATGATATAAATTGTATCATGAAAAGTCAAAAAATGAGAATTAATCGGAATGAGGGAAGCTATTTAAATTATATGGACATTAAAAAGGAGCGCTGAAATATTTTTATATGTGTTTTGTGATTCTATGTTTCAAAATGTGCTGTTCTTGAGAAATAGGATGACCGATGCTATCTGGAGGTTCTTAAAACCTATGACAAGCCTAAAAATTGGTTTAAGCATTAGTCGAGCTTATTTGGCTTCTACGAAGTTGACCATATCACTGCGATTATGATATAAGTTATAAGCTTTATATATTGGCATTCTGCCAGTTCCAATGGCAAAGCCCGATAGCTTAGTGGTCTGAGCATTTGACCGGTAATCGAGAGGTGCGAGGTTCTATTCCCGCTCGGGACGAACCATTGAGTGAATTTCTGTTTTTCAACAATTTTATTATAAGCATTAGTTGACTTCAGCCTCTGCCTTAATCACTAGCTTCATTTTAAAGTAAATAAAATAAAATAAATAATTTTAAAAAATGTGACATGTAAAGCACTTCCAACCCCAACCAATTCAAGCTAATCAAACATCACAAAAAAAAAAAAATAAAAACAAGCTCCCTCAAAATTTCTAATAGATAAATGGAATTAGAAGTAAAAAAAAATATTTCTCATCTCATTTATCCTCTTCAATTTTGTTGTTCGCTTCCGTTAACATCATCTGAACTTTTTTTCTTCCGCCCGCTCGAACCAATAAACGGAATGAAGGCAAAAAAAATTTTCATTTACATTTTGTGTCATTCAAAAAAAAAAAATATTTACATTTTTCTAAGTAAAGAAGACTCGACCGTTGTCAATCAAAAAAAAAAGGAAAGGAAAGCATGGAATTTTCCTCATCATAAACTGACGACGACCCTAACTCGGATATAACATAGATTTGCTTCCTACAACATAGAATGAATGTTCTCCTTCTGTGAAGATGATTTGCACACTTCCGACTTCGAAAATTACAAAATCATTGTAAATTAGTGTGTGTATGTTTATGTATGCGTGTTCTAATAAGAATGTTTTTTTTTTTCTGTTCGATCAAAAAGGTTCTGTAGATATTGATTGCTTGTACAACTTAAGAGCTTCCGTGTCCCTTTTTTGGCCTTATTTTTTTCAATTTTCATGTCATCAAACTCATCCGAAATTGAAGACTTTTTTTCTGATGAGAAGGAACTTCTTTCATGGTTTTCAGGTTGAATTTATGTCAAATGTCAAATACAATCTTTTATTTTTAAAACATATATAAAAAATCCTTAGAATAGAAAAATTGCACGTCCTTGCTTATCAATAGCCAAAAAAGCCCTTGATAGATTTGCCCCACTCGAGAATGTCTATTCCATGTGATGCTAGATCAAAATAGAGCATTTGAAGTCCTTGAGATTGCTAAAAATAGAAATAAATTTGTCTTTATTGTGTATCTTTAGAATTGAATAATTTTTAAAGAAAGGAGTGGAAACTGAATGATTTTTTTTGGTAAATAATGTCGTTTGTTAAATTGTGAATCTTACTCAAATAGCCCAAGTCGGTTAATCTGGCACCAAGCCGGTATAACTCTGACAAGGTGCTGGATTTAAATTAAAGCCAGTACCATGCCAGATTTATGTCGACTTTGCGCTGAGGTTCCATTCGATTAACTGACTTGTGCCATTTAGGTTATGTAGAAGCATGGTTAAGTATTTCTGAGAAGATTTTGATTTTTCTAGATCATTACGAGATTTTTCGGACTACCTTAGATACCCTTTCGTAGAATTGGCACAACTGAAGGTTATAAATGAAGTTGAATGTAACTTCTTACGCAGAGAGGCTCCAAGAAGCTCTAGAAACCGTCCTTAAATTTTTAATTTTTTTAAAAAGTCAGAATTCCCATTATACAAGGCTTATAAGTTATCATACATTTTAAAACTATTCAAAATTAAGTAAGGTAAAGGATTCGTTCTTAAACTGTCATTTTTATAGAAAAATAAAGCAAGAAGGCTCCTAATCTAGTATGTAAAATAACACTCGTTATTTATGGATGTCATGCATGAAAAATCCAAATTGTGGTATCTTAAATCACATTAAATTCCTAACAATTCACCAAAATATATGCTTAGTCATGACTGTGTGATCAAAAATTCAACAACAATTTACTCTCATTTGTCATGCACCAGTGTAACTTAACTATTTAATTCAATCACATTTTATTACACTTTATTAGGTCAGTAAACTAAATTCTTACTTCCCTTTTCCCCTTTTGACATTTCAATCAATTTCAATTCAAATCAAAGAGTTTCCGCCCCTTGGATAAGAACTTAATTGAGTTCATTGTACTTACCTGTAGATTTGTCATTACATCCGCGTAATCAGATGTAGACAGTTTTTCAAGAAATGATGAAAATGCATTGCTCTGCTCCATTTTAGCGAAAAATGTCGTCAGAACCTCATCTTGTGGTATGAGAAGAAGACATTCGGAGAAGTATGCATCAATTCCGCCCAGACTGTTTCCATTTTCATTTACTAATTAAATAGAATGAGTAAGAAAGTGGAAATGAGAAAATTGGTAAAGTTTTGAATTTGCAAAACTTGGGGATGTAGTCAGGGGGTCCATAAATTTTATAATTTTAAAAATTGAGGACAACACTGACTGCACTCCTGGTAAACAAAAAATGAAGCAATTTCCGATGAGATAAGAACTACAACTCACCAACTATCGACTCTGTCTCCTCATTTGTCAGCACAATTCTTTCAATTTTCTTTTCAAATTCACTTAAGTTGACGCCCGTATCATTGAGAAAGCTAGAAAATTTCCTTAAAATTGTCACCTGAGACAAACGATCCACAATCAATTTGTAGCCATCACTACGCAAATAATCGTACGATTCTCTCATTTCTTCATCATTTGCATAGAAATGCTTAGTCAGATTTCGTATATCATCAATTGGTAAAATGTCGACAAAATCACAAAAGTCTTTGTACAATGAATTCTCATTTCCACTTTGAAAATGGTTAATTGACTCGATGTGAGATGAGCAAATGGCACAATTAGTCACGAAAATTAAAGCAGCAATGATTTTTAACATTTTTTTAAAAAAAATAAAAAAAAAACGTGTGCACTTTAGTGAATGAGAACGTTTTACGAGTACGATAGTTTGACTACTATCTGTGTATCTCTGAAATTGAAATTGAGGAATGATTTCATGACGTACTGATAAAGTGGGACACGCTGATGAGCGGGGAGAGAATATTTTTTTAATATTATAAAGCGGGAAGCGTAGGGAAAAAAAATAATAAAAATAACAGAAATTTACTCAACATTAAATTAAATTACATTTATTCAATTGGTGGATAATGATTTTACTTATTGAGCAATACGACAGCAATCTCAGCACATTTTGTTATGTTCCTCTTTTTTTTTCATTTATGTACAGACAGATGCGGTACTTATTTCACGTATTTTATTGTAGTATTATTGAGAAGTTTTTTGATTCTTCTTTTTTTTTGAAGTCGCATTGAAAAACTTAGTCTATATTTTTTTTTGGATGATTTGATGCTGAATAAGGAATGTAGTAAAAAAGATTTTGGCTTGAATAGAGATTTTTTGAAGTGCACTTTTGTAGGAGATATTGCATGAGCTATTTAGAATTCAATGAGATGAGCATTTTAGGTCTGGATTGTTCATTCTTGTTGAAGATTTCTTTTAGAGTCGTTCGAAATATTGCAGATTGTGAAAAGCATTTAGTTGATTAGATGCTATTAGCAAAACCCTAAATTACATTCTATTCTAGTTGATTCTGAGGTTCTCTGGAAAGTTCCAGGGACTTTTAATTTTTGTTCATAATTTTAGCTGATGCGTCTTTATCCGGATTCTTAAATATCCCTTATATGTGCCACACCAAGTACCTTCCTATCTATGTACTTAATGCTTGTAATTTAAGCTCAACAATTAGTTCTAATATTAAAAACATGCGGTTTATTAACAAAACAACAACCAGTCATACAGCAAATTAAATTTAATTTTTTCCACTTTAATTTCTGCTCAGTCATTTACTCATCTCACTGCCATAAATGTGTAGGACAAAACTATAGCAAAACAATTTTATGCGTCTGCTTATTGTCTATTATAACCCCTCTATCTATTTAAATACTCTACATAATGAGTTATCATTTAATTAATTGTCGAGAAAGCAGTAAAATTTGTACATAATTCTGGTTATGCTATTCCTATTCAGACAAATATCAAAAAATATTAATTGTTGCAAATTAAAATTAATATCATTGCAACTGTAAGAATGGAATGAATAAATGAGTTAAATGGTTATGTGTATTTATACAACTCGTACAGAATTAACATTGAATTTATAAAGAAACCACTAAAAAGATCACAAAGGAAGGCTTTTAAAGGCTGAAAGTTGAAAAGAATTTCTGCAGGCTTTTGAGAATGCTAAGAATTCCTTGTAGAGATTTTAAAGAGTATTTTATATTTTTTTGGAATGTAAGAGTTGGTTTATTGGCATATTTCCATTGTTTGGGATGACCTCTCATCCATCTTACGTCCGCATTAAATTGCAACTAGGGTTTAGTTAAAAAAAACTCGAATTTAAATTGTTTAGTCATTCAAAAACAGTTTGTTTCAATTTATTTCATTTACAGTAGCGACAGAGCGATTAAGATAGTGCTCATCTATTCTAGGTTCGATTCACCAGTGTGACTAGCCGTAGTCAAACGCTTTTTCACTATCCTAAGCATACAACTAAGTTTATGTTATTTGCTAAACATACATCATAGCCAAGTAGATGATATTAATGTTCTTTAGATCTCAAAATCAAATTAGGTTCGGAAAACAAGCTAAGAGTTTCCCAATCTTGGTATCTGTAAGTCTTGTGAATCTGTAAATCGACAATACTATTTGTAAGGAATAAGAGTAAAAAGAATCGAACCTAAGTTTTCACAAAATAGAATAATTCAGATTGCCAAACCAATCGACCTCAGAGGCTTTACTCTGGAACTAGCAGATTTGCTTACATATTGCTCGATACTATAAATTCACCATAGCTCACTAAAGAATTTCCGAAAAAATTTGAAAAAGATTTCTATTCATTAAACATTATACAGCTCCAACAAAAAATTTTGATAAAATCCCTCAAAGGAATTCCTTGGGAATTCCCCAACTTTATTTTCATTCTGTTGTATCTATTTACACCGCAAACTGATGGATGTACTTTCATAAAAGAGAAGATTTTGGCATTTTCCACAACAATATGGAGAAATAAAAAGGCAGAAACGAAAAGAATTATCTCTGTACAATTGTTTAACGTTAAGAATGGAAAGATATTTATTTAACTGTACATAAAAGTCTGAAATGTTGTTGGTGAGTGGAGAGAAAGCTAAGAAAAATGATCCTAATTCAAATTATCCCTTAAGGAATCATTGTGGCTGTTCTACTCATTTCGAATTGTGGCTTTCACATACACAAACTTATTCGTGCCCTTTATTTTATATCCCACTTCGTTGTGTGCATATTTTTCCACATTAGTTGATGGTGTATATGTATTAGCTTAAATACTATTAATTTTGTCTGCATTTAAAGGTGTTATAAGTTGCCCATACACATTCCATTCCACTGAAGTGCTTCATTACTTCTTTTTCTCGTTTGCTTTTGAGTTTAACGGAATTTTGTATTTGTCACCTTTTTATGATTTGCATTATTCTTGTTTCATTTAATTTACTAAAGATGTGAAGCTAATAGAGCTATAAACAGTCTGAGCTAGTTTGTATCTCAAAGTTTGGTATATTGATTGTGAATTGTGGATTAGAGACACTAGGAAGGCTTAAAATCTCGGACCCATATGCAGTGCTTCTCAAACAAACGAAACATTTGAGAAACTCTGCCATAACGTGATGAATCAAAGGCATTATCCAGAGGTTGAGGTTGTCTTAAAAGTTGTATTGATTTATGCCTTCAATTTAACAATGATTGAATTGCGTTAATTATTTAAACTCTTGCAGATATTTTAAACACTGTGGTCTGAACATTTCAAACCATTTATTCCATTAAGTTCAACATTTACTTGTCATTTCAATCATCGGCATAATTTTCAACTGCCACTCTAATTGGCAATTTGAGATGAGTTTAAAATTGAAGACAGATTTTGTAACAAGCCATTCCGATGTCAATTAAGGAGCAGAAATTTCTGAAGTCAGGAACATCATCCCTAATTTATTTCGAATGAGAAGAATGTTAAAGTCATTTTAGGGGTGTAATTAGGTAAAGCTTAGCTAGCCTGGATAAGTCGATTCTACCTCATCATCCACATCCAGCTAAATTATAATAATTTTCAAGTTCACAGCAAAATTAAAATCGCAAGAACAGACTCCAACTGCTTCCACATCAAACATAAACAATGAGAAAACCAAATTAAGATTAAAATTCATCATCATTATTATAATCACCATTCTCATAATGACAAATTACAGCGGAATAAAGCAAGAGAGATGGAGATAGCGTGAAAAAAAGCAACACTTAACTAACAAGACACATAAAAAATGTGAAAAAAGGAGAAAACGAAATATAAAATGATGGATAGAATAACAGAATGAGCGTGTAGGAGAGAGATCCACTTTGCTGAACTCATTATGATTCAACGAAATGGAAAAAGCTTTCACTTCATATACTTTAACAATGATCGATCGAATGCAGTTAAAGAGCAGACAGTATAGAATGAAATAAAGAAGGAGAAGGATAGAATGACGAAACAGGAGAGACAGAAGAGCTTAGAGAACATAATATGCTGTTATTGATGTTATGTATGTATAAATGTTGTGTTATGAGGTAAAATAGAGGCGAAAGGAAAAAAAGTTGTGTCTTGATGTTGACGAAAAGGCGCATCAGAATTGATGAACTGTCAGAAAGAACAGCCTTACCTAGAGTTGGTGTAATAATAATTTGTGATGGGCCCAGCCTTTCAGCTGAAGGTACTGGAATTCAACTTTAGACAAGACTTGGTGTACTTGGGCTGGTTTTAAGGGCTACTTAAGGTGCCCTACACTAGGATTGAAAACTAATGTAATGCATTCATACTTAAAATTGATTTAATGACTTAAATAGATTACCCCGAGGACCCGGATTGATCAAGTCGGTTAATGGATCAGGAATCCAATCTAGCAAGAGTCTGCGATGGTGCTAGACTTAAATCGAAGCCAGCATCATGCATGAATTTTTTTTCGATTAACCAGTATGAACTCTAGTTCTCTCAAAATTAGCTTTGCTTCAAGCTAGGGTCTAAGAGTAGCTTAGAAATAAATGAACTTTAAAATTTTCTTGATGAATATTGAAGGTCTAGTTCCTGGCTTTCATCTTATAAATTTGAATTTTATTTTAGTGGCTTGAGATTGCCCAGTTACCATCAACTGATTCTTTGATTGAGATTCAATAAACTGTTCAAAGCAGAAAATAGCCAATGTTAACAATCCACAAATGCTGTCTAGAAACCCTTAATAGCTAAGTGGTAAGAACATTAGAAATTCTAAAGACTTGAGTTCGATTCCCACCAAGGTTGAAGTTTTTATCATTAAATACCAGAGGGCGAAGTCGACTCGGATTTTGTATGGAAAAGTCGACTTCATACAAATTTCGAGTCGACTTCGCCCTCTGTTAAATACCTAATAGTATATGTTTCTTAGGTACTTAGTTCTCAATTAAATTGCAAAATATTATGAAACTTTCATTTTAGATCAAATCCAGATCAGAAGAACTAAAGTTGACCACCGCAACTGTATGCAAACGTTGAATTTGACCAAAAAAAAATTCCTTAATGCCAAACATAAAATAGTTTACATTCTCAAAACTTCAAAAATTCCGCTACACGAAAGCTGAAGCGTAAAAGCAAAAGAGGTTACACCAGTGGTGATGAAAAATATACTCTTACCCCCTCCCGCAACAGCCCAATGAATTCATTTCACTTCTTTTCTTCCATATAGGCTTTCATTCTCGCTTTTCTATTCAACAAACTTTTTTTTTCATGTTACTTTTCTTCCTTTAATTCCATATTTCCTATTCTTTGTATGTCTACTCACAATTTTTTTTTTCCTGATGCATGAACAAAAAATAATTTTTTTTTCCTCTTCTATTCGACGCTCTGTTTCTATGTAGTAACAATAAGCAAAGTAAAATTTTACATT